TGGACATCACATTTTGGGTTTTCTAGACCACAATACTTAATATTTTTCTACAAAGGCCTAATATCCACTTACGAGGACATTACACTGCTCTATAAAAATTAAAAACGAAAATCCTCATATGTGGATATCATTCTTCTCAGAAAGAAAAAAAATGGTAAAAAGAAAATGTTTTTTACATTCATCAGGTCTTAATCAGCCCAAATAGCAAAGAGAAATTAAAAATGCATGCCATGAAAGGGTTTGGGTCTTAGGAGGTTTTAAAGAGCTGTTCCTTGAGGTTCCTGCTCCCATTACCTCTGACCAAACATTTGTGCTTTTTACCACCAGAATGCAAGAAGACAGAAAGAGCTGACATCATTTTCTTGGTGGACGGCTCCACAAGCATAACCCTGAAAAAGTTTCGAAGCATGCAGAAGTTTATGCAGTCGATGGTGAACCAAACCACAGTTGGCACAGACCTGACCCGCTTCGGTGTCATCCTCTACGCAAATGAACCCAAGTCTATTTTCACTCTAAATCAGTACAGCTCCAAGTGGGAGGTTTCCCAGGCCATTATGGCTCTCAAATCCCCGTATGGAGACACATACACTGGCAAAGCTTTGAAATTTGCTCTACAGTTCTTTGATGCTAAATATGGTGGACGGGCAGAGGTGCCTCAGATCCTCATGGTAATTACCGATGGCGATGCTACTGACCCACACAGTCTGAATGAACCATCTGCGGCTCTGAGAAACAAAGGGGTCACTGTCTTCAGTATTGGAGTGGAAGGAGCCAACAAGGAACAGCTGGAGGTCATGGCTGGTCAAGATAAAGCCAACGTTTTTTACGTGGATAACTTTGATGCCCTGGAAAAACTCTACAAAAACATCACGCAAGTCCTATGCAACTCCACCAAACCAGGTAAGCAACTAAACTTCTAATTACATCAGGCAAAAGAAAAGGGATTTGCAAGGATACAATAAACGATTATACTAACAGCACATTTCTGAATTTCACACTTGACGTAAATAATCCTCAAATTGATTGAGAAGAAGCGTTTTAAAACACGATTCGTCCCACATCATTGTAAGAAAAGCAAGCAGGAAGATTTTATATTGGCAACAGTAAATTCAGAAGTTTTCTGGGTTTTTTACACTCATTAGTTCAGATATTTCTACAGTCAGTACAGCATACTGGGTGTCTTTAAACACCAACATGATACTGATAAATCTGTGATTAGCAAAGGCTCACAAACATCTGACCGAAGTTTGGAAAACAAAGTGGATCACTTTATAGCTTTATAGCACTTGTTTCCACAGCCTGTATGGAGCATCCCACAGATGCTAATTAGTGCATAATAAAGTCCCCAAATTTCACTCAGCAAAACTGGAGCTCAGATTTCTTGATAAGTCTGTTAGTATTATTAACCTAACAGCAGCCATATTATTGGTTGGTACACTGTTGCATTAAAAATGCTGCAGTTCAAAGAAGTAGCTGTTCAATTCAATTTTATTTATATAGCGCCAAATCACAACAACAGTCACCTCAAGGCGCTTTATATTTGTACAGTAAAAGACGTCAAAGATGCTATCCCCCTAATAATGCAAATGACCTTCTTAATAATATCTAAAGGCCCATGTGTCACAATCAGCGGGGCTGACTGTGAGTAGAGTGAAAGGTGGACCCAAAACGAAACAAAACGTGACTTGAATAACCGAACACGAGCCGTTCATTGAGGCTGGCGAGGCTAACAATAAACTAAACTGGGTGAGCTAAATTTAATATAAAAACCTACAACAGGAACATGGACCTGACCTGAAAACTTGACATGAACTCTTGGCCTAGCAACAAAGCAAACGCTCTGACAATGACACCCTGAAAACAGAGGACTTCAATACACAGGAGGAGATTAAGGGAAGTCAAACTAAATACAATGAACAAAGAACACACAACTCCTTCAAAATAAAACAGGAAACATGAGACATGACAATACAAACTTGATAACATAAGACATTATGAAACACAAAGGGTGAGGGAATACAGGGGCAGAAAACACAAGGAGTCTAATAACCAGATGAACTTTGCTAATCTAACGAACTCAAACATAAACAACATCCACGTGTTTATTTCTGCTGTCACGTTTTAACGTGGGTGTCTAAAGGCACTGACTCACTGCTGGAGCCTCTGCTGGATGTCAGAGGAACTGCAGTTTTTGGCACAAGTCTAAATTTTTAACCCCAGGGCTAACAATTGCAAACAACTAACCAACAGCATCGTACGTGTAGAGCACCGAATGTGTTTAAAATGTGAGTTGCGTGCCATCGTCACAAAAATAATCTGTATTTGTCAACAAAAGAACATGAAGAGCCTCCACACAGTGCATGGTCCACGTCTCTAATATCTGCGTTTTCATTTACAGTTTGTGAAAAACAAAGTGCTGACCTGGTCTTCCTAGTTGATCAGTCAGGTAGCATTAACCAAAATGACTACGCCATCATGAAGAACTTCACCATAGATCTCATCAACAGCTTCAATGTCAGTGAAGATTTCGTTCGTGTTGGGTTTGCCCAGTTCAGCGACATTTTTCAACACGAGTTTTACCTCAACCAGTTCTACACTGAGAAGAAAATGTCGGATCACATCATGCAAATGAGTCAGCGTGGGGGAGGAACCAACATCGGACTGGCTCTGACTTCCATTAAGGAGTATTTTGAGGCATTGCGGGGCAGTCGTAAATCTGAAGGCATCTCCCAGAATTTGGTGTTGATCACAGATGGAGGATCGCAAGATGATGTTGAAGACCCTGCCATCGAACTAAGGGCTCTAGGAATCGAGGTGTTTGCCATCGGCATTGGAGATGTCCACATTCTGGAGCTGCTGCAGATCACCGGCACACCGGAGAGGCTCTTCACTGAGCAGAACTTTGACAGCTTGGAAAATATCAAGCAAAAGGTGGTCAACAGCATCTGCAAATCCAAACTTATCCCAGAACAACCAGGTGAGTTTGAAAAGTCGATGTTCTAGTGATCTTTTGTCTTTGTCTCCCCCTCTTACCTGCCATATCCACCTGTCTTTGCCAAAACATATATACAAATGTCTCTGTTACAGCCTGCAGCATCGACATCGCCATGGGATTCGATATTTCTAGAAGAAGAAATCCAAACGAGGTGCTAGTCAGCGGCCACAACAGCCTCAGGACCTTCCTGCCAGAGATCGCTAATTACGTTTCCTCAGTAGAAGGCCTGTGCTGCCTCGGCCCCGAGCCCATCAGACCCAACGTCGCCTATCGAATCGTGAGCCGCGATGGAAACACAGTGGAAGACTTTAGCTTTGTGGAGTACAGTGACGACGTGGTGACCAAAGTCATGGACTTTAATTTAGCAGAGCCAACGTACTTCAACACAGCTCTGCTCAGATCCTTTGGGGAGAAGTTCAAGCTGCAGTCCAA